TAGAAAAACAATTGTTCCTCTAACAAAATCAAATTAATTATTTGTTTTTTCTATTCCTATATAAGTAGCACAAATTATTAACAAGTTGAAAGAACTCAAAATAAATGTTTTCTTACCTTGAATGATTTGATTGGCCATCGGAGAATCGAAAAAAGGAAGTTGGATCAGCGTTAACTTGAATATGTTCTTCCTTCGACGACGTTGAAACGATTTTGTTACCGGTGTCCTTAAGTGTCATCCTCTTTTTTCTTTTTTTTTTATCCTTTCCCGCCAATTTTCTTCTCTAACGAACGTCGAGTTCGCGTTGATCATGCAAGTCGTATGAGTTCGTATTCTTATACGAGATATTTTTTTTGTTTTTATTTATATATATATATGCGTACCTCGCATTACCCTCCTTTCCAGCGGCAACAACTATCACCGTCATTAGAATCACAGAGAGAAACGTAAGACACGCACGTCGCGTTAAATATTGGAAACTACTGGGACGAACATTGACGGATGCTGCATGATCGAGATCTAAATATGGTAGATTATTTAAAATGTATTTTTTTATTTTATTTATTTCCTTTTACAACACATGTCACCTTGTTATTATACGTCATAAATCATTGAGACGCCAAATTTTCTTTTCTATTTTCAACTTTATTATTTCGCATATATCATTTTACCTTAATTTTACATTATTTATTTTATTATTTAATTTAAATTTAAAAAAGAAAAACAGTAAAAAAGGAAATATATACAATGCAATTTTGAAATAATCTACGGGGTTTTCTGTTTTACCGATGGTTCGTTGGATCGTTCGTAGATCGTAGCGCCAATGCTAATGACAAATTTAAAATGGCAAATATTAATGAATTACATATATGTATATAAGTAAATATATAAAAACTCATTTCATAATTTTTTTCATTATTTAATCAAATGATGATTAAAAGCACCCAATCAGATTGATATTAATTGTATTTTATATTAAAATATTTCAATAATATAATTAAATCGCAAGTTGTATTACCTTGCACGATGCTAACGACATCTGAATATACCCGCTAATACGATGGTTCTTGATTGGCTAATTTAAATGTGGAAAATTCAACAGCATTATTTTTTCACATTTCTATATCGTCAAATGAGTTTATTACATGTTTGAAAACCCATCAAAACTCCTTGAAAATAAATATATATATTTTGTATTTAAATGGGCACAATGCATCAAAAGAAATAGTTTAATACGAGAGATAAGATTGAATATCATTGATAACATGGTAAAAATGATATAAATTTGTGATAAAAAGAAACGAGAATGCTTGTCGACGATTTTACGATTATTTTTGGTACCTTTAAATATACCAAAATTAGTTGGGAAAAGTGGTGAGGGAAGAGTCAGTGAAGGGGTGGTGGAAAGGGTTGGTCAATGCGTGGTGAAATGGTTGGTCAAGGCGTGATGAAAGGGCCGATCAAGGGCTGGGGGAAGGGAGAAGGCTATATTTATAAGGGAACTCGCATACAAAGTGCAGTGGGTCAGTCTGAAGTTGAATTTTGAGGAAGATTGTACTCTGATCATATACTGGGTGTTTTTAGATAACAATATACATTCCTTTTAATTAATTAACAATTATTTTAATATCCTAATACATTTTAATTACATTTCAGATTGTTTCAAAGTATTTACATTTGTTTAAACGTTGCATACCTATTAATGTACTTTGAATAACAAATAATTTTTTTCTCTTTATTTATAGGTTTCATAGAACAACGTATAATTGTATGATTTATTAATTATTTTACTTGATTTTATATAGATTGAAAATTATTTATATAAATGTATATAGATTATGTATAGATAATACGTGCATATGTTAAAGTTATTCTACGGTGTGTTATTTTTCAATAGAATAAACGATGTTACTTAAATTCTATTCAAGTTGTTCATTTATCATTTTGTTTTTTTGGATATTTAAACTTTCCTTTGTATTCTCGATAATAATTTAAAAAATTTTTCAAATGGAATTTTTATGGTTAAGTTCATTTCTTTGAATTATATTCGGATGTGGGCATGTTTACGATGCACATCCTTCCTGGGTCTTCAGAAGTGATTGCCTCCTCGTGGTTAGACCTGGGCAATGGATATTACTTTCCATGTAATATTTATCATATTTTGTTATGTTATACATTCCATGGCAAATAAAATCTATCTAAAGACCGCTTATCATAAATATTATAAAGATAATTAGTTTCTTTCATTTTCCCAATTAATATTATATTCAAATTCCATCATCGGTTAAATTCATTTAATTATCAATGCAATTAATTAATGCACTTTTTTTTACATTTCGTATTTTACTTGTGTTAGTTATGGTAAAATCTTGAATTCGAAAAAATTAAAAATTTGTAAAAAAAAAAAAAGATTTATTTTTCTTGAACAAAATTTCGTATAAAAATATTCGATTTTTTAAAATAATTTCTGCATAAAAATGAAGCTTTTGTCATTGACTGCGTTCAAACAATATCCTCTTGCATTATTTCCCATGCGTCATATATTGTATACTACTTATGTTAGTTGCCATGACAGTAAGAATGAAAACATTGAATGAATGAATCAAACAACGTTACATTTCGTATTTCCTTTCATTCTTGTATCGCTCATCAGAGATAAAAGTGACAAAAAAAAAAAAAGAAAAATTATCGATCAGTATAACTCAGTGTCCAATGAATTTGGAAAGAATAGAAAGTGCGAAACAAATGGAAAGGCCGGTAACTCATTGGCGTCGAGAAGCTCTCGAGAAGAGCGTAAAAAGAATCGAAAGTAAAGAAATGGAAAGACCAACGTCTAGAAGAGGTATCAAAGAAAATTTAGAAGATTATAGTAACTTTCGACCTGGAACACCTGCCAATCCTCGAAATACTATGACAGTTCGAGCACCATCCGCTTCTATTTCGAATTTGACACGTTTAAATACGGGATTGTCGATTTCCGCTTTGGAAAGACCCATCACTCAACATGGAATTGCTCCAATTCGACCTGGAACTGGTAGATCCTCAATGACAAGGTTTGCCATTTTTTTAAACTTGTTATCGGAGTGATATGCATACAAAATGAGTCAATAAAAAATACCATCTTTTTTTTTATTTTTCTTTTGAAATAACTTTGATTGAATAACAAAAAATATTCTAATGTATTACGTAACATTGTAAAGGACATATCTGATTTATTACAAAGAAAACAAATTATCATATTTTATTTCTTGATTCGCCTTTTTATTAACAATATCGTCGAATTAGGATAGAAAAAGCTCAAAGTTCTTCGATGTTTCAAAATAAAAAATCAAACACTATATAATTCATTAATAACATTAATAAATAACGAGTTATTTTAAATGATAATTTTTGTTAACTCATCCTGCATATATCTTTTTTAATAAGTTGTCTAAAGATGAAGTATTTTTAATTTAATTTATCTTTTTTTTTTCTTATCATACAGACAAGTTCAGGATAAAAGATATTATGAAGGATTGATACAATTAAAAATGAGAGAATTATCTCAAGAAATGACTACTATCTTACGAGACATCGATATGCAGAATAAAGAAAGGGCAACAATATTGCATTACGATAAAAGGGCGAAAGATTTGGCAGCGGAATTAACGGCATTACAAGGTGAACTCGCCGATTATAATATTGTCGTAGATAAAATGAGTTTGAATATCGATAAGGAATCAGTAGATCAAGAGGCTAAAGAACTTTCGTTGAAAAATGAACGATCCATGGCCGAGATTGAGGAAATGTTTGAACGTAGACAAGAAATGGAACAAAGATTACGTAAAACGGAAAAAGAAATAGAATTGGAGAGACAACGTACGGAAAGATTGGTCGAAATGATGGATCCAACAATGAGAGAAAAGTACGATGAACTTATCAAAGAAAAACATCAAGTTGAAAAATCGATCAACGAGATGCAGCAAGAATTTGATGAATTATCGAAGGAACATAGCAATTTGGAAGAACAAATAGCACTGTCTCCTTTGAAACAGGAAGCTGTCAAGTTGCACATTAAGATAATGGATGCTGAAGAGAAAAGGGATAAACTTAGGGACGAGGAAAAGAATAGAATGTCTCCTGAAAAAGAAAAAGAACAATTGTTGTTAAAAATAAAACAAGACAATATGGACAAGTCAGCTGCGGAAGCTCAACTTGCAAGTAAAAAGAAACAAATAGCCGAATTGGAGGAAGAATTGGAACGATTAGAGACTGATTTGGAAGATGGTAGAACTGAGAAATTAACGAAATATAAAGAATTGCAAAAACGTGAAGAAGTTATGGAACAATTTGCTTCAACTTTTGAAATAAATAAAGCAGAGGAAATGGATAGGATTAAAAAATTAGAATTATCGATCGTAGAATATTTAGAAAGAATATCTAATGCCGATGATAATAGAAATTTAACGAGGAACGAGGAAATATTGATTTTAAATAAATCCAATAATGATTATAATTACGATTACAATTACGACAACGAGCGTTTACCGCACGATCAAAGTTTTGAAATGTTAGGCAATGATTATATCAAATTACAAGATACATTGCGTAAATTAGAAATATTAGAGCATAAATTGAAATCAGAAGTACGTGATTTCAATGAACAAACCAATGACAGAGAATTCGAATTAATAAAATTGGAAAATTTAAATGGTTTTAAAATGACAAGTCAAATGAAACACGAAGATGCGAATGCTGAATATAAAAAATTAATGAACGAGCAAAAAATTAGCGAGGAAGAATTAAAAACCGTTAAAGATAATTATAATCAAATAAAGGCGCGTTTTAACGAAAATCGAATTTTTCTTGAAATTGAGGCACTTGACAAAAAATTATCTAATCTAAAGGAAGAAAATAAGAAAAGCAATGATTTACTTCAAAGGCAGAAAGAACACGTTGATTTTTTACCACGTAAACAGCAAGCCTTGAAATTAATGAAAGAATATGGTACAATACTTGAAAACAATTTCAAAAATCTTTATTAAATTATTAAGCTTTTCTTACGCGATATACTTTCAAATTCTGTTCAAATTAGATACACGCACATACAGAAGTTGAATCTTCTCTATAATTACATTTTAATTTCACTTTTAGATATTGGTATTGATTCAGCTTCCATTTCCTTTAAAAATGCAGCGTATCCTTTGTTATCTCTTCTTTCAGCTGTTAATAATCAGATTTGTAAAGAATATAATTAAAGATATTTTCTTAAATTCATTTAGATAAATATTTGAAGAATACTTGAGAAAATATTACCATACCATAAATCGAAAGGATAAAATTACACAAACGGTTCATTTCTGTCCTTTCCTCATTCTTGATAGCTTTAAATATATTTAATGATGTATCAAGTATATCTGTATGAGTTTCGTTACGAAGATCGTGAATCAACAATTTCATTTGCACATTATTTATCTGAGAAAAAAAAATATATATATATAGTAAAATATAATATAATATAATATAATGTATGATAAAAATATAAAACCTTAAATATTGTTGTTATTTCCGAAATTTTACCACATGTTGCATATGCCTTAATCAATTTTACTACAGCCACTGGCTCTCCGTGAATATCATTTATACATTTTAAAATTTCTTTTATTTTATCTCCAATATACGTTAATGATAAATCAGTTGAATTATGGATTAATATTTCTAATAATTTTTGTTTTAATGGGGCTTTCTTATATTTCTTTGCACAGTTAATAAAAGTATCCATAGCAGATTCTATGTCGTTTCTCATAAGATGCCTTTCAATCAAAGGAATAAACAAAATATTTTGAAGTTTACAATAATTTTTTTCAAATAGAGTTAATAACATTTTTTCTGTATCATCATGACGTTCGCTTTCAGCTATTGCTGTCAATAACTTTAAACAGTAAGAATCACTATTTAATGATATATTAATACTTTTAGTATTTTCAATTACATTAAATGCATCTTCTACTCTATTGTGTTTCACCAAAGAAATAGCATACTCTAATATTTTATTAGTATCCAATTTAAATTGGCTGTGTTTAGTTTTAATTTCATTTAATTCAGCTTCAGCTTTATCCAACAGATCATTTTTTACATACAAATGAAACAACCCTGCTCTCATTCCTGCTGTCCAATCGTAGTTATTTGAAATAATCTCTTCCTTTATTTTTTCGGCAGCTTCTAAATTACTTTCTTTACAGTATTTGTCTAATAATCTCTTTGTCACACCACGAATGTTCATGTTTTTAAATTTAAGTTCTAACAGAAGACTATTTAGTTGTTCTATGTCCATTTTTGATGGATGAGGATTCAGCGATAATATTAAGTTAGAGTTATTTTGTTTATATGTGTTATATACCGAATTTAAATCTATTTCTTCATTGTTCAATAAATTACAAACAGTTTTTAATTCAGCTGCATCCGTTGTTATGTCAAAAATACGTTTCAACATAACATCGGCCTCTGACTTCGATAATTTCACATTATGTTCTTTTAATATTTGTAAAAAATTAATAAGCCGCTTCAAAGTTTTACACTCAATTGCATCATTTAGTAATGCCTTTAAAATATACAAATATGGTGGTTCCTTTATATAAGGTATTTGTAGCATTATCGATACATAATTTGATGCATTGATTGCTTTTTCATATCCTTGAACAAGAGACTTTTCTAAGTAAGAATCACAAAAATCAAGTTTTATTTTCAATTTAGACAACACAAATATTAAATCTTTAAGTCTGTTATTGTCCAAAAGAAATGCACATACACTTCTTACCACAGTGAGAAAATTAATCTCTTTTTGTTTCAATTCTGTTATCGTCTTCATGGGATTAATTACATTTATGAAAGGAAGTACATATTCAATGAGCGTATTCTTATCTACCTCTACATTTAAAGATATCATGTGTGAAATAAGAGAATATAATTCGTTTGCATTTTTCTGCGCTTGTAATAGCAAAGGCCAATAATAATGACTACGTACTGGGATGTCATTTTTTTTCATATCTTCAAATAAAGTAAGCGCCAATGATCTTCTGCCATTGTGCATCGCAATTTTGGTAGCTTCATTTATGATATGTGGAGAACAATTATAATTGATGATTTCACGTATCATTTGTAAAATATCTTCATCTGATTTATTCGATTGAATATCTTCATCAACAAAACATTTAACATATTCTACATAAGTATCTATAACTTCTGGACTAGAAGAAAGATTACTTAATATCTTAATAGTATTTATTCTGTCGCCAGCATGTATAAGTTCAATAATATTATTAGTAATTAGATTTAATTCATTTAACTTCAACGACTTTGGTAGAAATGTTAAAATACTTTCTATGTGTTCTCCATGTCCATTACGACTAAGAATTTTAATAACTTCCATAATGTTTATAGTATTTGGATGATATTTTTCAAAAGTTTCCATAACATTGGAAATATTGCCTACCTTTGCAAAACCATATGCTAAATAAATATAAGTATCAGGTGATGGCATAATCTTATTAGATTCCATTTTCTTAATTACTTCTTTAGCCTCTTCAATGTTTCCTTGCATTGCATATACTTTGACAATCATATTGAATATTTCTTTATCCCAAGTATCTAAATTTTCTTTCATTTTTGATATTATATCACTAGTGACTAATAATTCAACATTTTCTATTTTCGAGATTAAATTCAACAGAGAACAATATATACTCTGATCAGGTTTTATGGTCATTTTATCTAAAAATTCACGTGGATTTATAGATTCCAAATTTTGTGCATAAACTCCAAGTAGACAATTATAATGTTCCAAAGTTAATTGACAACCTTTCTTTTGAAGGAGATTCCATACTTGATTAGTTAATTTTTGTCTCGTTGGTAAATCAACATCAGGTAATGAATTACCACAACATTTGAGTAATATTAAATCAATATCGTTTGGCAATGGATTGTCTGTTTCATCATACATTTGTATAATTTGTTTTAAATCTTCCAAGTATACTTTTCCATTTCGAAGATTTATGCACAAGTCAACTACTTCATTTTTTAACGTGTTTGATAATAATGGAGTTAAATTAGTAGTGCTATAAAAATTAAACTGTTGTTTGTAGTGACATTTGTAAAAATAAATAAACTCTCTTTCTTTAGAATAGTACTTGTCTAATCTATAATATTTAGGATGACAGTTCATGTACGTTTTATTAAAACTTTTTAAAAATAAAAAATATCTCTTACTTATAACCATATTCAAAAGAATTTGATTTTTATTAAATAGTTATGTTATGAAAGTGATGTAGAAAGATATTTTTTATTTAGAACATGCATCACACTACATATTCCTTAACCTCAAAATTATTTATTTTTATGTTCTTATCGGTAGCGCCAATTTATCGGTCGATAAATAAGATATCTACCTATGCAACAGTAACTAATATTTTTAAAATAATGTTACTTAAAACTGTTATGTTAAATTGCATTTTTTTTCGAAATTCCTCTTGGTTATTTTTATTTAAGAAATCATACATTATCCAAGTATTAACAAGGAAATATTAAAGTAATTATTATTAACAATCTATGAAAGGTAATACAAAAGTAAATTTTAGTTTATTTTACTGTTTCAAGATGTCACTACTTACTCTATCATAGAACCATTTAACTAACGTAGCGGGAAAATAAAGAAAATTCAAAATAAGGAAATAACATTACAAATTATTCATATATTATTCGATAATTAAATTAAAACGTATCAATTAAAAATGAATTTTTTTTTATAAAATAAAGAAAAAACAAATGAGGAATTTATTTAATCCTTTCTACGAATTCGTAAAAAAAAAAAGGAAAAGTAATAAAAAAGAAAATACAATTTTATTATGGAAAATAATATGGAAATGAAAACAATTTGGATGTTAACGGAATCTAATGTTTTTTATATTTTTGTTTGTTAAAATATTTGTTTATTTGAATTGTATCAGATAGTAAAAGTAATGAATTTCCAGAGATAAATTTTGTTTTTATTGATTAATATTACAGTAAGTTACAGTAAGCATCAAGAGATAAATATAATATTTGAGAAGAAAAAAAAATAAAGCAGTACACTTCACACGTTATCAAATTACATGCATCGATTACAATGTACAAGAAAAACAGCACACGCACGCATATACATGGATGATATGAAAAGTTATGAGCCTACTTTTTAAGAAACCATGTTATTATTTTTTCGATAAAATTAAATTTGATTGAAAAAAAAAAAAAAAATTGGAAATATTTGTTGTAGCTCAAAACTGTTCAATCCATCCACTTACATAAATACACGATGATTACAGATGAATAAATAAGCGAATAAATAGAAGATTAAATAATTAAAACGGGTTACATATAAATGTTCAAACACTCGATATTTAAGAATAAAATATCTAATCTAATTAATAATCTATTATAATGATATAATGTAGTATATAATGGTATTATATATTATATAAATAATAGTGCACAAATATTTTCTATCGTTGTTTATCTACAATATTACTTTGAATAATTTTATAACATAATTAGATGTTTACACGATTATTGTTTTTCTTTTTTCGATATGAAAAAAAAAAAACAAAATAAAATATTTTACAATTAAAATAAAAATATAATGAGAAAAATTATTAATAATAATTGATATATGCTTGTAAAAGATGTATACACAAATTTTCTTATTACGAACGTACATTGACTTAAAAATAATTCGACATTAAGATTAAATTAATATATAATTATTGTCTTACAAGCTTATATTTTTAAGTTCTAACTTCCACGGACTGAGATCGAGTACCCTACTTGTATTCATCCAAAAAAAAAAAAAAAAAAGAAATAATCATAAGTAGACAAATCAATTTACATTTGAATACTTTCGGGTTTGCGTCCAGGAATTTTCTTGACTAGATTCCACTCATATTCGATATAATATATCTTTGTGTATTAATCTTTTATATACAGGTATATTATAGTTTTTTTTTATGACTTTTTTTTAATGACTAGATTTTTTTTTTTATTCTGCGACTAAACATTTCAGCGGTTATTTATTTTATATATTTTATATATTTTTTATTGTAAGATAAACTTTTCTTTTTGTTTTGCTATTCGAAATCGGGTTGCAAACTATTTTTTTTTTTTTACTTTGTCTCTATGGATTTGCAAATATATGAGATATTTTATCCCGTTTTTATTTATTAATATTTATATCTTTATTTTGCTATTTTTCTTTTTTTTTTTTTTAATTTTCTTTTCTCCTATTTTCTTTCTATCCGTTTAATACTTTTGTTTCTTTTTTATCTCCTTCACAAGGCGTACTTACTTAACTTAAAAATTTGATTTATTACTCCGAAAAAGTAATTGCATATAAATTTTGTAATTATTACAAAATTAATCTTATTAAAATTAATTAAATAATAAATTAATTAAAATTATAAGCACAGCCACGTAATATTTGTACATCGGTGAGAATTTGTTTTAGAATGATAATAATTCGTAGAAAAAGATGAATATTGTAATTAAATCGGTGAACTTTTCTTAATTGTATTAATTTAAAAAAAAAAAAAGAAAAAAAAAGGAAAAAAAAGAAAAAAAAATAATTCAATAAAATTCAGATCAAATTACAATAGTTTCAGATCTATCTACAATTATTTATATTAAATTAACCTTACTTAAATGTTAAATATACTTTTTTATATAGCTGCCTTATAAGGGACAATCTCGTATTAGATTACCGAAAAAATTATCAATAAATTACAAATATATTTATGTATTTATATACATACGTAAAATAGGATGTTTAGCCAATCAGAAATGCCAAAAAAAAAGAAAATTAGACAAAAATTGACAAAACGTAATTGTAAAAACGATTTCGAGGTTCTAAGATAAATAAATATTTATTAAATTAACATAAAAAAATAATACTAATTCCTAAGGACATCGAATATTATCGTATATTTGAAAATCATTCTAATTTCACTTTCGTTTTGGCATGAAGAAATTTATTGTTTCTATGGCATCGCATCCACGGGCAGTGATAAGTTATGGCGGAATTATATAATATATGTGTGTTATATAATTATATGATGAAAAACATATCATACCTATGTATTGGGAAAAAAGAAATTTATTATTATTATTTTTTTCGTTAAATGATTGTAGTGATATATATCTCGTAAATATTGACCAAACAAATTTAAATGTACGTTCATTGAAAAAATGACATTTCCTATGAAAGAAAAAATATATTTTTACAATTTTTTGATTGATCGATTCGATTGAATTTTGAGTTATGACGTGTAAATGATAGAAATTAACAAAGAAAAATTGTATATGTTTTACAATTTTGTCCAGAAACTTTGGCAACTCTATTGGAAAGTTTTGATGCAATTCATTTGTGGTATTCGAATTTTTTTGTATCAAACGATTATCATTTTTTTTTTTATTGTTTAAAAAATTTTCGTCGAAAAACTGGAAACAAGATTTTTATGATAAGTTATCTTTAAAATAGTAACGAAATTCTAAAACGAAACAATGTATATTTGATACAAATCGGACAATCCGAATCATGTTAATATAAACGATAAAAAAAATAATAAATTTCTTTTTTCCCCTTAAGCTAATATAAATAAATACATATACATGGATCCAGTAAAGATGTCGCTAAGGAAAAATTATTATTATTAATTACAAACGTTTAGTATCATCTCGTAATAACGATTTTAAATATCAAAGTTGAAACGTGGTTTTTATTATACGTTTCATCAATAATTGCATTTACGACTGGCCTGCATATTCCTTTTAGAATATAATTAACTAATTTAATTATTTGATTGTGTGTTGTATTTTGATTATTCATACAAATATGAAATTTTAAATGACTGTCATAAAATATTGTATTGTTTAATTTGTTTTTTTTTTTTTTCATCAAATTTGACAAGATTAATCAAAATTATGAAAAATGATGATTTTCGTCGAATATTACTTTTGAAGGATATTTTTCAATAAATTATTACTAATGAAAGACTATTGGTTGATTAAACATAATCTTCATTTTAAGAATAAAATAATTAAATTAATTCATCAAAGTTTTATCTATAATGGCAATTAATAGAAACTTTTTGAAATATAATTAAAGTATATTTAAAAAAAGACTAGAGTGTGACTAGAATATTATTAGAATATGACTAGAATATAACTAGAGTATGACTAGAATATGACTGTAGTACGACTAGAGTACGACTAGAGTATGACTAGAGTATGACTAGAGTATAACTAAAATATGAGTAGAGTATGACTAGAAAATGATTGGGGTATAAAATCATAAACAATTTAGAATGTGACTAGAGTAAGACTAGAGGATGATTTAAAATATGTATAGGTTGATTAGAATATGACTAGAATCGATTTAGATCATGAACTACATATTACTGTACAGATAATAATCATTGGTGATTCTAATTATTATTTTTCTTTGCAATAATTCTTTTCTTCATGATTTATTCTATATTTTTGGTAATCAGCCCAATGAGCATTTGCATATGCGTCATAGAAAAATATAAATAAATAAGAATGAAAGAAATTCTATGATATAACTTATTTCTAAAGTTCATATATATATATACAGCTATATGCGATTTAAAAAAAATTAAATTATACTTAATGCTCGGTCAAATATTACATAATTTTAAAAAGATTCGATAAATTTACAAAAATCAAAAGTAGATTCTTACATCCGTAAAACGTAGATCATCACTTTGGTAGTTGAAGGTCGTCCAATCATTGATGCATTAGATATGGGGGGTTGATTCTCTGCAATAGCTGTTCGAGTTCCATGATGATGATAACAAGTATATAAGATGATAGTAGACCAAATATATTCTTGCAAAGTTAGACATTTCCTTTCGTTTAGTTATTTGAATAATTTAATCAAATCGGTATACTTCTTTTATTTGTTTTTCAAACTTTTCGTCTATTTTCGTTAGATTTCGTTAGATTTCGTTAAATTTTCGTATGACTTTCCAATACCAATGAAATACTTGTGGAAAGTAAAAATCCCATTTTTTTACTTTGAAATAAACTTATTACGAAATGGTGTGAAAATTTTACCGAGCAAAACAATTAACTAATAATTGTAC